GAATATGGACCAATCGCTCGCTTTTTAAATGGCTACTCATTTGTTTAACCCCGCCCCTTTTCACAGCGCCGTATGACAGAATTTCACATGCTCAAACTCGAGTGTGAGCGCAGCATTAGCCCACTTACCTGTATTCTGTTGATTTGTGTATGTGTGTGTGTGTGTATATATATATATATATATACACACACACACACACAATCTAACATTCACAATTATTAATTATAGGTAAACTATATAAATTACAGCATAACTACATTAAATTGTCTAGCTATGAAAATATCAATCAATAATGGAGAAAACACATCTGAAACTACAAGCTGTAAACATATTTATGAATCATAATTATTATGGTAATTCTGCCATGATATTTACACATTCTTATAAACACGCACGCACACACACACACGCGTGACCTGTGACCTTTAAAGTACTTGTTTGTGATTCGCTTCCATTTGATTGGCATTGAAACAGGAACATGAGGCTGAAATAATTTATAAAGTGTGTAAAAGTGAGTCCAGCGAACATCCCGTCCTCCAGGACCAGTGTCCAGTCTGATTTCCCAGAATGCACCACATCCAGGAAGGTCAAAGTGCATGTGAGACTGAAGGTTTGTGCGGGGTGGGACTGAGAACAACACGACTGAAAGCAGAAAACACAACACATCAGGTCAGAACACACACGGTTATCTGTTTAACAATTCACATTAATGAATCAAACTGACTCCATGAGAAACGATTCAAACTGACTCCATCACGAGAAATGAATCAAACTGACTCCATTATGAGTAATGAATCAAACTGACTTAATCGTGAGAAACGAATCAAATTGACTCCATCACGAGAAATGAATCAAACTGACTCCATTATTAGAAATGAATCAAACTGACTTTATCACAAGAAATGAATCAACCTGACTCCATTATGAGTAATGAATCAAACTGACTCCATCAAGAGAAACGAATCAAACTGACTCCATCATGAGAAACTAATCAAACTATCTCCATCATAAGAAACGAATCAAACTGACTCCATCATGAGAAATGAATCAAACTGACTCCATCATGAGAAATGAATCACACTGACTCTATCATGAAAAACGATTCAAACTGACTCCATCGTGACAAACGAATCAAACTGACTCCATCATGGGAAACGAATCAAATTGACTCCATCATGAGAAACAAATCAAACTGACCATCACGAGAAATGAATCAAACTGACTCCTTTATAAGAAATTAATCAAACCGACTCCATTATGAGTAATGAATCAAACTGACTCCATTATGAGAAATGAATCAAACTGACTCCATTATAAAAAACGAATCAAACTGACTCCATTATGAGAAACGAATCAAACTGACTCCTTTATAAGAAATTAATCAAACCGAATCCATTATGAGTAATGAATCAAACTGACTCCATTATGAGAAATGAATCAAACTGACTCCATCAAGAGAAACGAATCAAACTGACTCCATCATGAGAAACGAATCAAACTGACTCCATCATGAGAAATGAATCAAACTGACTCCATCATGAGAAATGAATCAAACTGACTCCATCATGAGAAATAAATCAATCTGACTCCATCATGAGAAATGAATCAAACTGAATCCATCGTGAGAAATGAATCAAACTGACTCCATCATGAGAAATGAATAAAATTGACTCCATTATGAGAAATGAATCAAACTGACTCCATCATAAGAAACGAATCAAACTGACTCCATCACGAGAAATGAATCAAACTGACTCCATCATAAGAAACGAATCAAACTGACTCCATCGTGAGAAATGAATCAAACTGACTCCATCATGAGAAACGAATCAAACTGACTCCATCATGAGAAATGAATCTCAACCTGAGTCTCTTTAATGAGAAATGAATCAAACTGACTCTATTGCCAAAAATGTATAACCTTTGCTTAAGATGACATGTATATAAGGACTTCTTTTTGTCATTGCCGTAAAATAGTGAAGAAACGAACTAAAGCTATCCTGAAGTCTCACCTGAACGCCTTTTCACTTCGTCAAAGGTTTCTGAAGAGCTGCAAAAGAACAAACCACTCATTTCACATAATCACAAAAACAACACAATCCTAGAAACATTGACTGACATCACACACATATCATTATGTAAATGCATTTATGCTGTTATCTAAAAGTTATACCATTTCACGTCTTAAATAAAACCAAATAAAACATTTCAAATACATGCATGTAATATAATATCTCAATTATAATGCTAAATATAAACATGTAGACACTGATGTGTAGCTTTCCTTAATAAAACAGAGCAGGAATATTGTTCTATATTCCCAGAGAGTTAAAGGGAAAGACCCTGTGGAATTACGGGTAAGAGTTAAAGCAAATGACGAATTAAAGTCAGATATTTAGACTAACCCAACACCAGCCCCTCAGACAGACGACACTGATGGATTATCAACCTCAATCAGTGTAACATTTACACTGAACCCACACAATCAGGCATCCTGCACCAAAATAAAGAGTCAATCAGTGTCAACTCAAGCCTCAGATTGATGATCTTACTACTCTTTACACTTTATTTCTTGAACTTATTTCGAAGACAACATAAATAGGGCTAAATATCAAACAAAGAACATTAAATGGACGCGTTCTTAGTGAGTAATCCACTATTTAGAGACAGATTTCCTTATTAAAAATCCTTAAATCTAAACAAATAAACACATTAATAAATAAAATACCCAACTGGATTATTAATTGGAATGCCACAAATCTGTGTTGATTATATACAACAATATTTTATTATTATGGTAGTTTAATATCAAGTTCTCACAATATTGTTGAATGTTCAATGTTATTAACTTTTATTACCTGTTATTAATTTATTTTTCACTTTATTTGACATTTTCTGGATTGATTATTTTTTTTATTATTTATAACTTTATTCATTATTTATTTATTTATTTATTTTTGAATATCCAATGTAAAAAGTTCTGTACATAAATGTGGAAAT